TTGATTAGCCAACATTATCCAATAACTTGTTTGCTCGAAATGCATAGTGCAAGGAGTCGCTTGGTAAAGTACTGTGCCATATTTGTTGCCGTTATGGCCTTGAGTTTTCTGACTATTTAGAACCGGCGATTTCCTCCTAAGGTAGATAAACTCCAGAATAAGATGTATCTCGAATGAAGGCTGAAATACACAATTTACAGGCTCTTTTGTAAAAAAAAAAAAAAAAATTGGGTGTGATAGTAGGAGTAACATTTTCTGCATGTCGAATACCTTTAGCTTATCTTTCGACTTAGACTCCAAGTAATGCATTTCTACACGTTTCTAGGTCGATCTGTGACTCTCCAAAAATGGTGCCTAAGCCGCAATTTTGGCCTTATGTCGACTAAATTCCATGCAATACTTGGGTTTCACTTCAATCATAGTTTCTTACTTTCATAAGATGGGCCTCGATATCTCCCCCTCATGCAAGGTGGTTCACTAGGACACTTCGGCCCGAAAACACACGAAACACTACCAAAAATGAATCAAAATAATAAAAGTGATCCTAGGAGATACTAAACACACTTTTGAGCATCTATCAAGCAAATCCAAGTTAAAACTTAATTTGATAATAAATATATGAAATTATTTAATACATGCCACTAACATAGGATCTAAAATAGTATAATCTACGTATCATCGAGATAGGTGGGCAAGCCAACTAATCGTATGCTATGCCACGTATCAAAGGTTGTTGCTGGACGTGTATTGCATTCGATGCACAAAACCATAAGGGCTACCTTGTTACAGTACACTCAATGTAGTCACACATAATCAATAATGCAATAAACGTAACAAGGTGAATACTCAATCAATCAACATATATATAATCGAGACTCAATTCATAAATAGTCTAAGGACCCTCCAGGGTTTAGAAGCTTATACAAACGAAGGAATTAACTACTCATATTCACAGGAAACACAAAAAGGAGTATAAAGGGAGGGATTCAACCTAACTTCTGTAAATTGGCAGTCGTTTACACAAAATGGCAGCCATGATGCCATTTTTGTCGTCATTTTTCTCCTCTCTTTGTTTTTGGCAAAATACATGTTATGAAACTGCCTTGGAGGCAGAGCAACCCTCTTAACAAGTTGTACCCAGTTTGGAGCTCAATAAGATGTATAAATAGCTCCCCGTAGTAGTTTTCACTTTTGACTAAAGTACTAGAAAATCAAGTTACCGGAGGATGATTAGATTCCCAGAATATGTGATTGTTCTAGTTCTTCATCGTGTGATAATATGTGCTAATAACTCCATATAGTAGGTTTAACTTCTGAATAAACTAGCTAATCAAGTTATTAGAGGATTATTAGATGCCCAAACTCTATGATTGTTCAAGTTGATGTCGTATGACTAGTCAAGATATCTCGAACCCATTTGTTAGTGTGCTCTTAGCTTTATGAGATGCTCTTCTTTGATATTTTACCTTATCCTTTTCTAATTGGCACATTCCTTCATTAATGTTCTAGTTTGTGGATATCACACGTAATTATGTGGATGATTAATACGAAGGATTCTTTGTGCATGATGGAAGGACTATCGTGCACGAGATTCAAGATCTACGATCATCATTTCATAATGCTACGACCCATCACTATTTCTAATCTTCTTTACTCATTTTTTCATAGTCTAAGGAATTGAAGTTATTCAAGTCATTTCAAGTTAATTTGTATTGACCAGGTGCTTAATAGTGTCTAGTCGGCAAGTGGGATGAGATTAGGTGCTAACTAGCAAAAAAACACTACTAAAAATAACGAAATCACTACGGATTATTATAAAATCAATACAACATCTAAGCTAAATCACTACTAATTCAAACTAGTAGTAGTTTTCCCTTGGTTAGGACGGTGCTAACTATTGTACAATTAGCACCGTAACCGCTCCCTCGGCAAGTAGGTCCTCTTTAATGATCAACTAACAAAAAAACGAACATGAGAAATCTGATTAGAAAAAAATAACTTTAATTTTATGGAGAACAACATTTTTTTCATCTAGTGGAGGCAAACACAAAAATTATAAATCATGGTAGAGCCGCTTGGAGAAACAAAAGAAAAACAGAGATAGCAAAGCTACCAATACATCCGAGAGAGGAGAATCAAGTTTCATTTGTGGAGAGGTTTGAAGCACCTGTTGAGGGATGCTGACTCCCGGGAGGTTTTCTGAAAGATTTTTTCTTAGATACAAAGGGGATTCATCAAGTTCACATGTAAATAGACAAAACTATGCTTTAATAGCTAGTCTGCGACTTACAACACATATGAACTAGTTGAAGCATCATACCTTATGCTAAAAGCTAGCAAATACTTTCAAAGTTTAAACTAGTTGAAGTACATGGAAAATGCCCCAAAGTTTAGCCATGATGGCAGTTCCAGTTCCCATCTTTAAAAAAAAAATTCCAAACTACATTAGTTATGAAAATAATTCCCAAAGTATGTATGTTTGTACATCACCGCAACAAACCAAAACAGTGAACCAGATCACCGCATTAGATAACGATAGTGAACAAATTTTGAATTACCACCGATTTTATTCGAAACAGTGAAAGGTTCACTATCATAAACAATGCACGGTGAAAGCATCACTGCAATCGTGGAAGACGGTCACATGTTGGATCTGGGAGGATTGCATCAAACGGCTGCGGTGAAGGGGCGGGCAGGCACGGATTGATGACGTGGATGGGAAGTGCATTCATTGTCATAGACGATTGCGGTGAATTAACGGGAAGTCCATTCCTCCACTCTAGTTTCATTCTAAGTATGCTCTGTGCTTGCGGCTAAGTCCGATCTTCCGCATCAGAAAGAATTACTTTATGAATTAAAATTTTTAATTTAATTTTTAATTATTTATTTATATTTGTGATTACCCTTGACAAAATTTCAGGGTCCGCCATTGGTGCCGCCCACGGGCTAGCACGGCGCGACACGGTTAGAGCACGACACGAGCACGGGAACGAAATAAATGGGACAGCCCGGCATGAGCACAAATAATTTATGGGTCGTGCCGGGCCTAAACTTCATGGGAATGGGCACGATCACGGGCACGACACTATATATAAGTGGGCCGTGTTGGGCCTAATATTTTCGAGACTTTATTGAGTATAAGAACGTACATGGCACGAGCATGGATATTTATTTGATAGAAAATAAATATAAAAAGAATTATAGGTCCAAATATTACAAAACACAAGTAGAAATATAATTATTAGTTGTTGTTAGAAGTGTCATAAAGATATATACGTAATTACTAATATAAGTAAAAATGGACAAAGAATTAAACAAAGCTAAATCACACTCGCTATACTTCCAATTTTCTTTTCCCCCTTATTTGTTACTTTCTCAAACATTATCGGTTAATACTATCTTCCTCCGTCCAATTTTCATCTTCTTTTTCATTCTCTCTCTTGTTTTCGTCCTTTTCATTAAACACGAATACGAGCATGGCACGAGCATGAATAGGCACGACACGATTCGAACCGTGCCCGGGCTGGTCCTAGAAAAGTGAAAAATTGGGCTTGCATGGCACGACACGAAAACTGACGGGTCGTGCCAATCACGAAAACTGACGGGTCGTGCCGGCCCAAGCACGGCCCACCGCCCATGTACAGTGCCGAGATATACAAACCTCGATTGTATATCCATCCTGGCCCAAGAGATACGAGGTATTTAACCGAGCAAGAAACACAACGCTCCCATGCGATTTGGCCCAACAATTCGATAGACAATCCGTACCATATAAAATTTTCAATTATTTCACTATTTTAAAGGTTTTTATTTTACTTTCCTTTAACTAACAACTTCGTGATTTGTTTTTTTTTTAGGAATCACTCATTCTCACCGATCACCGAGGAACAACAAGATTGCCCGCTTGGCATGCTCGATTCTTGCCGTATCTTGAGAGGACTGGATTGGACATGGTGAGGCACTTTATGCGGATTGATATCGACAACGATCTGCTGACACCAATGGCAGAGCGATGGCGACTCAAAACACTTACCTTCCACTTTCCTGAGAGGGAAATGACGAATACCCCCAAAGACGTTGCCATCCTCACCGGGCTGCCAGTCACTGGAGATGCCATCATCGGCCGCTTGGGAAAACCCAAATAAGGGTGGGGCCCTTTGATTCTCGAGCGTTTGGGGTTCGTCATGCCCACACAAACTGAAGTCCAAGGACATGTGCATCCATCGCAGAATGCGGGGCAAGTATCGATCCCGTGGCCCGTTGATCACATCCAAATAGCGGTTCATTTAGGCCTAGTTACCCCTAAAAATCAAGTGGAACGGTATGCACGTGTCTACCTCATTGGCTTGGTTGGTGGATTTATGTTCCCCGACAAGACAAACCGATGGATACAAGGCATGTGGTTGTCATTGCTCCTTGGTGATTGAGACGCGATAAGGAGAAAGAGTTGGGCCATAGCCGTGTTAGTTGGGTCTACAGGGAGATGTGTACTTGCTTTTGGTTGAGAGCAAAACAAGCTGGTGTTGCAATGTTCATCCTCCAGGTTTGGGCATGGGGGCATCTTTCGATGATCGCACCTCGAGACCCATGGGAATACTGGTTAGGGGTGGGCATACGGTTCGGTTTTATCGAACCGAACACAAACCAACCGAAACTGAAATAATTTTTATTAGGTTCAGAATTCGGATGGAGATATACCATATTTCGGGAGCCAGACTCATTTTGACCGAAACGAAAAACCGAAGTTCCGACCGAATTTCTGAAATTAAAGTGGCCCAACCCTTTTCCTGTTTTCAGGCTTAGCCTACTGGCTCCCTACTCCCCACCCATGCCCAAGTAAAGCCCAAGGCCCAACCTCCTTGACCCAAGTCAGCAACTCCCTCTCATTCTCTCAAGCCCAAATTCATTAATCTCTTTTCTCCACCTCCATAGTCCAATTCTCCATCGTCCAAATTCCAATTGCCATCAACCAAAAAATCATAAGGAATTGAAAGGAACGAATGAAGTGTTGGAAGCAGCAGAGAGTCAACGCGGCGGCGACTGCGACCACGACCAGCCGTGTCGGCGACTCCCCGACCCCGACGGCCTCTCGAGTCTCTCTCTCAATCCTTGCTTGCCCTCTCGCAGACCGCAGTCTCGACCGTCTCAGTCTACCACCGTCCACAGCACCGCCACTCGCCCGTCTCGCCGCCTCCCTCCCATCCACCGTTTCTACCGCCGACAGCCACCACTCGCCACCTCCCACGCTCCAAATCCGAAGCCCAAAGCTCCCATTAAATGCCACAAAATATAACCACCAGTTGAAGGCCAAAGAAAAACACTGGTAGCTCCACCAACACCAATGCCGGCGGCCAAAAACAGACAACACACATACCTTTTTTTCGGTTTTGAGTAGAAAACCGAACCAAGATATAATTCGGTTCGGGCAAATCAAACCAAATTATATCTCGTTTAGAATTCGGTTGGGAGATATCTGGGTTCGGAAACTCGGTACATGCCAGTTCGGTTCGGTTTGGTTCAAACCGAACCGACCGAATGCCCACCCCTAATACTGGTTTCCAAATGAGGAGCTACGAGATGTTCACACTTCCTGAACCATTGCCACATTGCGAGTTGGCAACTACAACTAGGGGCGCTGGAGCGTCGTCAAGCTATGCCCCGTCTCAGGAACATGACATGTTTCCCCAAGGGTTTCCTCAATTCCCCCATCAACAACATACTCTTACGTATTAGACCGTCTCAGGAACATGACATGCTTCTCAGCCACCTCCACCAGCATGGAATTCTCCGGTGGGGGGTCGGGTTAAGAGGAATCTGCGAGCAGTTGTCCAACAAGATCACAAAGAAGCAAGAGGGAGGGAAGGAGGAACAGGGGGAACAAGGACGCCGTGGAGGACGAGGAAGAGGGAGAGAAGGGAGAAAAATGAAGGCAAGTAGTGAACTATCTATGTTCTCTTTGTTTAGTTTGGTCTTGTGTTTTCCATGAACTATCCATGTTTTCGTTTTAGTTAGTCATTGTGTTTTCCATGAACCATCCATTTTTTTTGTAGTTTGGTCTTGTGTTTTCCATGAACTATCCATGTTGTCTTAATGTAGTACGATATTTTGCTTTTCAATTGATCACAATCCCATCTTCATTACAATCACTCCATTACAATTACTCAATAAGATTAAACGACATGCCCAATTTAACCATCATTACAACTTAACAATCATTAATGAAAAACAAAAGCCTCAAACTTGGTACGGATTTATGCCCAAACCTTGCTGGAGAGGTGCACCTGGGAACGCCGTTGGTCATGTCTAGATTGTCTGCACTTGGAGCAACGTCTCGGACCTCGCTGGGGTCGTTGTGATTGATCCATCTCGTTGTGAATTCTTATAGTCCTAGGACGACCCTTGGTATACTTTAGGTGCAACGGTGGGATAATCAATTTCTCATTGTCTACAGGCCAATAAGCTTCATCTGGCAGGGGGCTGAAACTGGACGAGTAAGAGTTCATGATCACGTGTTCGGTGATGTAAGGGCTGACTAGACTGTATGGGCTGATGATTATTGACTTTGCTACTGCCATTGTATGAGAATATGGTTTTCGTGTGTTTTGATATTTTTGGCATGTACACTCCCCGATGCGAGTTTCTAGGTGTAGAGTAACAGATTGACGATTGTTCCCCAATCTTCCTCCACCCCATATACCTGTCTCGAAAGCAAAAATACCTTCATTGCGGTTGAAAAGAACAAATCTATGCTTACTCGAATTTTCTTCGTTCTTCTGCATTTTATGAAAGATGTGATGTGCTATCGCATGTCCAACATGCTCCCTCCCTTTAGCCTCTTGGAGTCTCTGCACAAACCACTCGTTGACCTTCCAGTATGACATCTCCACTATGACAGAAAAAGAGATCTCCCTAAGTTGTATACTCCATTTATACTTTCGCCATGGTTGGTAGTTGAAATGCCGAATCTAGCCTCGTTGTCCATATGGAATGTCCACTTGTGCAACTCTTGACCTTCAGCCCATACTGCCCCCGCCCGGTTTATCTGACGGATCGTCTTCATCTTCTGCTCATATTTTTTTGGTTGATGTGCAACCGCTTCAATGTGAAAAAAATAACTAATTAATACATGAGAAAATTAATATGAATAATGATTAATTAACTCGCACAATAATAGATGAAGTACCTGCATTCCACAATTGATCTCTTATGTATTTCTTCTTCCCAAATTTGGTGCTGGAAATTGGCAATAAAGTGTTGAATACACCACCACCATGTCCATCCCCATTCGTTGGGAAAACCACCTTCGGCGTTCCTAATCCTAGCATGTCGATAGGATATAATCGTAATACCCTGCCGCTGTGTGACGTGGTTGTGTAACTGGTCAAAGAACCATGCCCAACTTAAGCGGTTCTCCCCTTCCACTAATGCAAATGCCAGGGGGAAATCCTCAAATTTCCATCAACGTTGGTGGCTATGAGAAGAGTTCCTCTGTACTTGCCAGTAAGGAAAGTTCCATCAACCTATTACAAATAATTTGAATTAGTATAAATATTACATAGTTAAAAAATGAACTAGGTCAACAGTAATTAGTCCGTAATATACTTGGATCACTGGAATGCAAAAGCCAAACCCGTCAATACATGGCTTGAATGCCCAAAATAGATGGCAAACCCGTCTCAATCACCATACACCCCAGCCGTGGCCTTCTGCTTTCCATGCCATTCCTTTTTGTACATAATCGTGTATGAATGTTGATCCTTCACCTCGGCCATGATAGCTTTGATCTTGATATCTGGTTGGGCCTCGATTAAATGCTTGATGGTTCTCCCCACTTTCTTTGCTTTCAGTTGGCGGTGATCTTGGGAAAGTATGGACGAGAAGCAGCTGTGGTTGTTCTTTGCTTTTCGAATGACCTAGACACCCTTTTGCTTCATATTTGCAGCCCGCAGTTACCACGTACAGCCCTCTTTAGCATTCTTGCATATGACATGTAATTGTTTGTTGTTAGAATATTTTACCTTCCACTCGAAATTGCGCTGCATGGCTTCTTCGCTAAAAGCATCTTGAACATCGTCTTTTGAAGTGAATGCCATACCCACCTCCAAATTGGCAGTCAGGTTATACACCGGCATAGGGAGAAAGTCAGGGGCATCATTCTGACTATATAAAAATTGAGTTGGAACCTCTATGTAGTATGGCATTGATGGCTCATGAAACGCCACCTCGTCATTGTCGATATCGTCCGTATCTTCATCATCGCCGACTAATCTCAAATAATCCTCACTTTCCTTGTCGCTGGAGGAAAATGGATAGCTTTGCCTAGGAGGATCATCGTGACCTGCATCACCAGCATCGTCTTCTCGCTCATGCGAAGTACGCCCAGATCCAAGAGTATTCTCAATGTCAGCCCACTTTAGCCCCAAGAAGGCCATTGCACGTGGTCGGGCTCAACGAATGGGGCAGGCTGAGCATGTTGCATGTATTCTTCCAATGCAACACCTCCTACATAATTACCTCCTCCGTAGTTTCTTGAACTACCACTCCATCTCTACCCTCTTGCAAAACCATGATCATAGGAGTACTAGTGAGAATGATTTTCATCCACCACCTCGGTCTTGACATACACCTCTGCAAGCCGCATCTTGTTGTCAGATAGGAACTGTATCATCATGGTAACTGATTCGGGCCCAATGTACACATTTTACCCCTCATTTCTTATTCGTTTAGCTTAGTATTTCATCGCTCCTCGACATATTTCACGCTAGATTGTGCTTGTTTTGATACATTTCAGGTCCTAGAATGTGTGGAAGGGTCGATGACGAGTTTTGGGATATTTGGAGGTCAAAAAGAGCAAAACTGAAGAAAATTCCGAAGACAATTGCCCCATAATAGTGAAGTGAAGGCGTCCAAGAAACAACCGCATTTCACGGTCGGACAAGGCAGTTCACGGTCTTCTAAAACCGTGATGAGGAGGCACCGTGAACCCAGGAAGCAAAGCGGTGCGTTTTTGGAGACGACTGAGTTCACATACGTGTTTAGGTGTTCATGGCCTTGAACTGGCCAACGCATCCGTGGACTGATCACTTTCGGGCAAACATGAAGACAACAGCTGGGAGAGAGAAAAGAGAGCTGGTTTTTGGGAGAAGGAACACTTTCTTTCTCTAGGGTTTCAACCCAAAACACCCAAGGGGAGTTCTAGTGAGAGAGGGAGTGATCTTGGAGCCTAATTGAAGGCATTGATCTAGCTTGGAAGCTTGGAATGATTGAATGATAGTCATTGGGATTGGGTATTGTTTAATTTAATGATTGAGGTATTATTCATGTTGATTGTGCATGCTTGTACTTAGCAATCTATGGGTTGTGCATGTTTTGTGCTTAGCATCCTTAGGTTCGTGCATGTTGGTGCTTTGCAATCTAATTAGCCACTTCAACCTAGCTTAGAGAGGAAAATCCCCCTTCCAAGGGAAACTCAATCGAGTTGGTTTTCCTTTAGCTTTATAAGCCACCTAACTAGGTTAATTTAGGGCAAACCTCAATGTTGAATTAAGCAAATTGGTTAAGAGCGATTAAGCCATCCAACCATTGAGTTGAGTGAGGGAGTAAGTCAACCACGGATTGCCTGAACCGAGAGGGCCGAGTGGCACGGCCTATAATGTTTACCTCGGTTTAGCAATTGAGATTGTGGTCTAAGACCATATTTTCATCCCTCTGCGGTTTGAGGTTACCTTGCCCATAGCAATCGTTTCAATCCAGCGAGTCACGGTAGCTAGTTAGGGGGAAACAACTCCTAAGTGAAGCTCCCTTAGTTAGAATTTTCCTTTATTAACTTTTCTTTGCTTGTTTAGTTTGTAGTTCCATTAGTTCTAAACCCAAAAGTTGCTTGCTAGATAACAACCTAAGCGATTAAAGTAGGGGTACATGCACCGACCCGAGTTGACAATTTAAATACTTGCTCTATGTTAGGATACATGTATGTAATTTTACCAACTCTCGTCTGTCCACCCATACAAACCCTATATGCACAAATGTCACGGAGTTCTTGCCACGTGAATCTCGAATCAATTTTCAGCATAATGGATTGACCATCTTCACAATCGATCACAATATCAGAGTTTGTCACTCGACCATTCCACCGAATAATAAGCCGACACTTCTTAAATTTACTCATGTCTGCAATTTATAATAAGTAACTATTAGCTTAACTCGAATAAGATTAGTATAGTATAATTATTACTTGGGGCACAAACAATATCCAACGCCATATTTTTAGGGCTACGAAAATAATATCATCCAAAACCATAAACAACCGCAACTAACTAATCGAAACATGAACCATAATTAGCATTACAATAACATGAGTATACTAAACAAATTCATCTAACTAACATCAATCATACCATAAAAATCTAAATATCTCCAACATAACATATTCACCACTAACAGCAATTCATTAAATACAGACTTATAATTATTAAAACATCAATATCTAAATAGTACACCATTATATCGTGCCGAAAATATGAGATTCTGTATCTGTAGTTGCTGGAAGCAGGCTGAGAAGGAGATTTTTGCAAAAATTTGAGTGGAATGGTACAGATTTTTTAGGCAGATACGTTGGGGCTCGGTTATTTATATGCAAAGCAAGTCATATAATCACAGCAAGAGTGCATTGCAGTGTATAAAATTACCGTGAGAGTCGACTGCAGTGAAGACATTCACCGCCTTTGCCTATTGCGGTGAATGCTAGGTAGCTGAGACCTAATTTTCCACCTACCAGGTCTGGAAAACGTGTTAAACAATCACCGCTTCAGACAACAACGGTGAATGCATAACTGTCTTTGTTCGGCGCGGTGATATGTTCACCATTTTAGTTCGCTACGGTGAAGGTTTCTCTCTTTAAACTAAGACGGTGAAACGTTCACTGTCTTTGTCGATGACAGTGATACGTTCACTGTCTTTGTCGATTGCGGTGATATTGTTCACTGTCTTGGACCATTGCGGTGATGTTCAAACATGCGTACTTTGAGAATTATTTTTATAACTAAAGTATTTTGGAATTTTTTTTTAAGAACTTGTGTATTTTGGAATTTTTTCCCATAGATTGTGGGTTTATAAGACCATTAACTCATTGAGAAAACAAAGTCTAGAATAAAGAGGACAACGAAAAATCTATACACAATTGCCATATATCAAGAACTATACACGAAAATGAACTCTTCAAAACACAATTGACGTATGTTGGGATCTTTTCTTTCTATCCACTTTCAAGTCCAATTATATTGGCCCAAAGTCAACCCAGTTTTGATATTATGTAATCAGGCTTGCTTCCTTCCTTAGACCCCATTAGGTGTTCTTTATTCTAGTTCTAACATTTCTCATCTCTTTGCTTCTTCAGTTTTTCCTTGGCTTCCATTAAGCCTTGCCTCACCTCTTCGTCTTGTGGCGAAATTTTCAACAACATCTCGTAGTCTTCTACTGAAGCTTCCCATTTTCCCAACTGTTTCACCAAGCAAATCGATATATGACCATTCTTTTTATAATTTTCCTAATTAAAAATCTATGAGCCAAATGTTAGTGTGCTTTACCTTGGCATAACAATCAGCTCTCCTTAGCCTGGCTTTGGCGTAGTCTGGACGGACATTGAGAGCAGAGGAGCAGTCATGGATGGCTTTCTCCAACTGGCCGAGCTTGGCGCGGCAGGCGGCTCGATTGCAGAGCAACACCGAGTTGTGAGGATCGTGCTCCAATCCTTCCTCGTAAGCCATCAATGCGTCTCGAAATTTCCCTACCTTGAAATGTTGGTTTCCTTTCGCTCGAGCCGCCGCCACGGCTCTCGCTTTCCTCATCGCCATGCTCGCGTCCTTGTTGTTGGAGTCCAGCCTCATCGCACCTTGCGCTTTCGATAAGGCGTCGTCGAACCTGTTGGCCAAAGTTACAACATTTTCAATGTTCATTAGGGTGACATGCTGAAATGAGTTAGTCGATTAGCTGTTACACCATTAAATTATTCGGTAATCATCGGTTAATGGTCCGATTATAAGATAGCTATGCAGTTATCGACATGCTAAAATGACTTTCGATGTACTAGATAATTGAATAGTCGGGTAACAATTAACCGCCAACTAAAAAAATATAAATATCTATGTTTCTCTCCAAAAAAAAAAAAAAACGATCGTATCCATCCCAAACAAACTCCGAACTTTGAATAAACAATATACTCCCCGCCCGACCCTTTTCTTTCCCAAATTTCCTCACACGTGAATCCTAAAATTGAAAGAAGCAAATAAAACCGTCAATTTTGCAATTGAAATTTAGACATCAAGAATGAATTGGGAAAATCAGATGGTTTCCTTTGGAAGAAATATTGCAAAGACCGTGCCTCAATTTCTTCCAATCAAAGAGTTCCCTCACCCAGTTCACACTCACAGCCTTCCTTCATATCATCACTTTCTTATCTCAGTCTCAACAGGAATAACAAGGCAAATTCAAATCAATGATAAACATTTTAAAAAAGAACACATAAATATGTAGGGAAAGATCTACAAAATGCATAATTGAAAATAAGAGGGAGATCTTCTATTGGTTTGGTTATTGATCGTTTATTTTGGTATAACCTTCTCAAATCGCTTGCTAACTGAGTAACTGGTTACTCTGTTAACCAACATAATACTTGATAACCACTGATACAGTTAGAGTTGACCGACTAATATAAACAAAGCGTTGACAATAAGCAAAAATTATTTAACGGCTACGATGAAGGACTCTCCGCCCTATTGAGAAGAATGAAAGTAATTGACAAAGGAACAACCTTAAATGTTCATGTCGGCTGAGCAACTCTAAAACGAATTTTCAATGTGCTTGGTTAACGAACATATTACATAGGGGTAAATGCCAAGTTTGATCACTGGGTTTACTAAAATGTGTCATGTTTAGTTACTGGAAAAATTATTATCAATAATGATCACTAAATGTAGTAAAATATTTCATGTTTAGTCATTCTTCGTTAGTCTTCGTCCAAAAAATGTCAGTAACTAACCTGCCCATTGCCATATCCACATGAGCTCTTACGGTCAATATACTGGCAGTAGAAATCGGGCCGAATAACTTGGTGCACGCATCAGTGTCGAAATTTAGGCTCTTTTTCATCACCTCGTCGGCCTCCCGGTGCTTGTTGTGTTTCATCAGCGCCTCAGCTTGTAGTGCATAAATCTATCCACCCATCCGAAAACAGAGAATCCAAGAATGGTAAAGGTCAGTTTCTCTAACCCATCACCGAAACAAGGTTTGAGGTAGCGGAAATGAATTGAATTGGGCTTACTAGGGGAGCAGAGTCTGCTCCTCCGGATATGGCAGCCTCAGATTCTTTGATGAGCGTGTTCCAGTCCCGCAGCCTCCTTGCCTCTATGCATTTGTTGAGGTACACTTGGAGGGATTTCGCTTTGGAAACGTCAATGTGATCCGCCTCCGGCCCTGCGTGTTTGTAATGGTAGATTGACTTCTCCATGTCTCCTAATCTGCAGGTGTGCACGTAAGGTGTTTGATAAATTGTCTGTGTGGAAATTTATATTTTTTTTTTTAGAATTTCTGTTGATTAGCAACATGTTTCACCTGAGGTACAAGTTACCCAAGCGATGATGCGCCCGATGGTAATTGGGTTCGATCCGGATGGCTTCCTTGCACTCGCTAACTGCTTCTAGCAGCCTACCCAGAGCAGTTAACGCCGCGCTCTTGTTGCTCCTGTACGCGGCCTTGTTCGGATCGATGGCAATCGCGGCTTCGTAAAGAGCCAAAGCCTCCGCGAAATCTCCATTCTTGTAATCCTCGTTGCCCATGATCTTCAGCTGCTCAGGGTCCATTCTTGTTGACAGAGCCCTGCATATAGGAGTGGTTGCCTGACTTTGGCAATCGCTCTGTTTCTTCACCACCACGTTCCCCATCACGCTGTTTAGATACTTCCCATTCTTCCCTTTGTTGTTGTTGTTGTTGCTGTCTTCCCTTTGATGGTTCGCCTTCCCTCCATAATTCCCTTGCTGCGGCTGCCTCAAGTTTCCTAGATTTCCATAAAGCATCACATTGCTCGAGGAACCACGAACCAAATGACTGTTCCCGTTGTTGTTCCTCTGGTAGTCATCGATCATGCTCTCCAGCTCGTCGGCGATACTGATGGCTCCTTTAGACACTTTCACATTGCTTGCACAAGTCCCATTGATGTTGTTGTTTGTTCTTGTTGCAGTGGTTATCGCCCCGGCTGCTGCTGAAGACGGTTGCTGATGCGAATTCGAGGGAGAAACCTTGGTGGGTTGATGATGTACAAGGATTGTTTTCTGATGATGGCGAGACGGGCCCTGAGCTGATCCATTAATTACCTTTGCTTCATCCGGATTCTTTCTTCGCTTCGCGAAGCTCGGCGACATGACCAGGTTGCGGGGATTATTAGGCTCTACTGTCGTCGCTACAGGTGGGGTCGAGGCCATGGATGTTCCTCTTCTCGACCGCATTCCTCCTCCCTTCTTTCCGAACACCGCGGTTAGTAACCCGCAACCGAATTTGTTCTCTACCGAGGTATGCTCTGCCTCTGCCATTGTATAATCTGACCTCTCTGTTTCTCTTTCTCGCCAAGCCTTGTGAACGAGATGGAACGGTGGACGAACTAACTGAGTAATGTTTTTTTATATCAATAGAAAGTTGGTAATGTGTACCGTTATAGCAAGGAAGTGACAGAGTTGTCGCCGGCGAGTAGGAGGGGGGAAAAACTTGGCATTCAACTCCAATTATTGATCAATCTCCATCTTTCATGCATTTCTTTCACCACACGAGCCCTCCCCGAGATAAGGAACTACTGTCCCTACTAGTTGGCGACCAGGGAGAATTCAGAATCGTCTTGTTCAGGGCTCCGCCGACGGCAGGGACCGCCTTCGTGCTCCGGCGGCAGTTTGTGGCCACTTTGTTGAATTTTGGTTGGTAGAGGCAAAATACATTAAACGAACAAGATGCTTGAAACCATCCGGAAACCCATCTGTGATATATCATTTTTGATTGCGCGTATTTTTGTTTAATAGAAGTTAAATTATAGGTCCTTTTTTTTTCTGTAGAATATATCTAAGTTTATTCTTATAGGAATAACAAAAAATCATCTTTTTGTCTGAACTTTAAATCGAAGTGGCATGCACGTCCAAAAGATCCACATGGGGCATATTATGTTGACCGAGGGAGATCCGTGAAAATGGCTTTTTAAATTTTATTGGCGATCCGTGAGATTGTCCTTTTTTCTAATAGATTGTCCATTGGATTAAAATTTTATAACAAAGTTGTCTAATTTGTTGGATTATTGTTGAACAAAAAGAATTTTAAGATCCTGAATATATTAGTAAGACAAATTCATGGTTAATGATTAATATGGTCACTATACTCAAACGTATAGGATACTTTAGACACTCGACCCTTTGAGTCACTCCATTCATTTCTTCATCCATATATGAGAAAAATACCACTTTTAATTAGATTTTGGTTATTTGAAGCTTCGAACTAATCATTTTAGTCCATAATCTCCATAGGAAACCAACAAGTGTCTTCAAACTCAAATATTAATCCGGAACCGAGAACTTGACCAACCTATGTGCATACTATTGGAAGAGTATGCTTGTTGGGTTAAAACGAGGATATTGGTTAAAGCCTGAATTTTGTAAAGTCCTGAATTTATGATGAAATTGGCTCATTGGATTGTGAAAAACTATTGTTTGCTTGTTGAAATTTATAGATAACGATGAATTAGATTTGTGTGTATGAAGTACAATTCACCTCGTTGTCCTAGTAGTATCGATATACATATAAATAATATATCAAGCATGTTGTTAATAATTTTCTAACGAACTTGCAGTTTCTTATTGTTGTTAACTTCTTGCACCAATTCTCCATTTATTTGGCAACTTTATTTATGGTAGAATATGAGAACTCATATAACACTGAAAAAATTTATGTTTGTAGTTTATTTTACAAGGAGACGAATGGTAATGTGTGGTTGCTTTCCGCTGATGGTCAAATTAAGATGATGCTTGGCCTCGACTGCTTTCTTATATGTGCGATTTTGGTTGTGTTTACAGAAATCAATCTCCAAACCCTAATTAGTCACACAGATTTTATTCGTAGTACTTCAATCTCTACATCGATAAAATTTGCACATAAAAAAAGTATACGGATGCAAAATTGGAACTTTTTTTTACAAAAGATAATCATATATTGATAAAAAAACATAGATAATTACATCCTGGAGCGCAATCAGGCCAAATAATCAAAAGAACGACTCATAATCGGGTACAAATGAAGGGCCTTCTTAGCCACCAAATGAGCTACCCTATTATTACGGCGACCTACAAATCTTACAGTGAGCCCCTTATTAAGTGCTAACCACTGCACCACTTCCACCAGCAAGGCGCCAATCCGACTATCCCTTGTGATCCCTTGATTGATCTTATGAATAACCACCTTGGTATCACCTTCCAGTTGCACTGCCAAAAATCCAGATGAAATGCACCAAGAAATAGTCTCCCAAATCGTGAGCATTTCGGCAACCAGAGGATCATCAATCCCATCAAACCGAACACCGTTAGCCAACAGGACCCTCCCTCTACTGTCCATCATAACAAAACCTACTGCCGAATGAGAGCCTTGCTTAGTCGCCCCATCCCACCTACAGACCAGCCCACTCGGGGGGAGCACCCCCTCCATCGGCGCAGGGGGGATAAAAAACCTTCTCAGCTCATCTACCGGAAGGTTCAACCATACCTAAAGCTGCTGATGGTATTGCCTCATTAAAGCTGGGAACCCAAACTGCTTGCCCTCAAAGACAACCCATTTTCGAGAATGCCAAATCCTCCAAAGTATTGCAGCCACAATCATAAACAATGGAGGCTAGTGAATGATAAGCAAAAGCCGCTTCAGGAAAAGAAGGAAAGAATGACGAGGAAGTCCTTGTCCAAGGTATTCTAAGCCCGCATAATCCCATAACGCCCTACCCATCAGACACTCAAGAAACAAGTGATCCATCGTCTCGGATTCCGCCTAGCAAACTGGGCACCTAGGGTGGACTTGGACAACTTTTTCCAGAAGCGCTTCCATCGTGGGGAGGATCCGATTGAAAATATGCCAGAGAACACCTTCAATTTAGGGGGAATATTAGCATCCCACAATCGGATCCAGCTTCCCATATCCATCCAACTAGCCAAGGCCCGCCAATGCCCATCCTTTTTACTCTGGTTAACTTCCAGGTGATAGGCTGATTTCACAGTGAAAGCACCATCTGGCGTACCATGCCAGACAAGCCGATCCTCAACATCCCTAAGGGGCAGATGGATTTCTCTAATGGCACTACATGTAGCCGGGTCGAACCACTGACTAAGCTTTGAATCACACCAACGCCCCTCATCTTGACACATAACCTCGGCAACACACAAATTCCCATCCGTAGCTGGTTGTACGTAGGGGCAATTGGTTGAAGCCGAGGCACCCAACTCGAGTCCAGTAACGGAGCAGACCTGTCATTACCAATTTGCCAACGGAGGCCTTGCACCAATAACTGATGCCCAAACAATATACTTTGCCACCCCCAGGAGGGGCGAGAACGCGCAGTAGCCTCCAAGAAACTCATCTTGGGGAAATAGCATATGGGGCGGGGCATGGTATCTACTTCAGCCCCGCCCCAATCTTGGCCCATTATATCTCAATTTCTTACAGTATCTATACATATTTATCATGTTTTGACTTTTCTTCAACTAGTTGGAGTCGATCTCTGAACTTGTTAGAGTCAATTGCCCATTTTATCACACTATTTTTCATTCATAAATTATTTTCCCCTTTATTTATCGAAAAAAGTAAAATTTGCGTGTATTTTTTCCGAATAACATGTAAGAGTGTGTCGACACGCCCCGCCTCATACCCGAGTGGGTTTTACCTTCCTAGATTTGAAGTAGCGTGGGGCATTGCATGGGTATTGAGGTACCCACCCCGCCCTGCCCCGCCTCATTGCCATCACTAGCGCCACATCACCATATACTAGCGGCACATCACCATATATGGAAGGCCACTAACAATTTCACTTATAAATTTAAACGAGTTATATCTTTTTTTTTTAAGTCAGAATTTATATTTTTTGCACTGTTAAATCATATATGTTGTGCTCTTCAAAATGATGTCCGCTTTGATATATTTTTGGAACAAAAAAATTTGAGACATTTAATACCACTCTCAATCATGGTGGTAGTGCTTGGTATACATCACATCATACCACGTAGTACGTAAGTGTATCATGATGGTATTAACATATCATAGTGTAGGATGGTTGAAATACATGATAATAGTAAAATATGAATTGTAATTTACCACATCCATCATTGTGTACCAGTAGTTACCAGTTACCACCCCTATACCAGGGTGGCATGGAGTGTGATTCAGACCTAATTGTACATGTTTTACCCCGTTTTACTTAGATGTTTGTGGCAAATTCACTCCTAAAGGCTAAAAGGTTGGTTTTACGCTAGGTTTCTCGTCTTTTAGCATATTTCAGGATTTAACAGGTGAAACCAGCCTCGGAGTCGAAAGTTGGACGAAAAGGATCGAAAACCAGGAGAAGAGGTGAAAAATGGCCAGTTCACGGCTTGCCCAGGAAGTTCACGGTCTTGCATGACCATGAAGAAGAGTTGCTGACCGTGAAATGCAAGGCATCCAGAGCATTTCCAGAAGTTACTGACGCATGGTGTGTTCACGGTCACTAAGACCGTGAACAGAGGCCGTTGACCGTGAACGGGACTGAACGAAGCGGTGCATTTTGGCGCACGCCTGCAGTTCACAGACGCGTTTGATGGTTCACGGCCGTGAACTCGGGCCGTGAATTGAGATTGTCTCTGGTTTAAAAGATGAGCTGAAAGGGGAAGGGAAGGGGGAGCCCACTTTGTGTGAAAAACCTTCTTCTGAATTCTAGAGAGAGAAACACGAACCAAAAGAGAAGAAGGCTAGGGTTTTGCTCCAAGGTGGATTTTGGGGATATTTCCTCCAAGGAAAGTTCAACACAAGGATCAAGAAGAGTGGGAGCATCCTCCAAGATGGTTTCTACCCTTTCCCTTTGTGTTTTCCCCACTTCTAGCATGGAGTAGATTTCCTTTCACTTGGGTGTTGTGAAACCCTAACTCTACCATGTAGTTTCTTTTATGTGAATTTGAATGATTGTCATTGGGTATTGTTTAATTCAATGATTGAGGTATTATTCATCTTGATTGCGCATGTTTATGCTTAGCATCCTTAGGCTTGTGCATGTTTAGGCGGGAAATTATTGGGGTATTCGGGACGAGTCAGAGTGGTACGTTATAGTCCTCTATATTTTCCCCATAAATTTGTGGATCCTATAGATCAAGAAGATTTAGTTCCATCTATGCAAAAAAATTAAGAATTCGAGTTAAAAACAAAGGTGGTACCGTGTGGTACCAAGGTGGTAACGAGTGGTATGAATTTTGTTTTGTCAAAATATGTTGAAAATGAATATCATGTTGTAGATCACAACGAAAACATATCATCTGCGCAAAAAAAAAATTGAAATTCAAGTTAGAACGAAGTAGGTAAGAGTCGATTAAGAAAATTAGAGAAAATAAAAAGTCTTTAAATCTCCCCTCTTAGATCTGAATTTTCTGAGCCCACTCAAATCTAAAGGTCTATATTTAGTTATGTAAATATGCATAACCAAGGGTCCTTATTCTGGATCTTCCTAGGAAGCACTTATCGTTGTTGAAATATGTTGTACCAAAGATAGGTGATACAACGTTATTTGCACATGTTTTGGCCACCATTATTGAACCGTTTGAGAGTCGATTCTCGTGTTTTAAGCCAATTTCACACTAGGTTGTGTATTTATGTCATATTTCAGGACTTGGCGCGGAAAGGGAGGCTTGGAGGTGAGTTTCGTGTCGAAAATGGAGAGTTGGCGGCAAGGAGGAGCTGACAGGCAAGATATCCGGTCAGGTCACTATAATACCCGACCAGGTATATGTGAATTGGGACCAGGTAATGGCGAGTTCGAGGCCAGGGAAACAGAAGGGAGCCCGGCCGAGAGGCCAAAATACTCGATCGGGTATTTCCCCTTTGCCTGATGCGCAGCGTTTCGGAATACCCGGCCGATCCTCTTAATAACTGACCACGACCAGGTATTTGGGCCGGGTTTCGGGATCTGCTGCTCTTTCATGGGAATTTTGGGTTCTTTGGAAGGAAGAATCAAGTTTTAGAGAA